TGTGAATACTCTAGTTTCGAATTCTCCAATGCTCTGTGTTAGCCTCACTTGTGCGCAAAATATTTCTTAGTTGTGAGCGTAAAAGTGTGATTTCAAATCAAATTTTATTGTGTTTCTTCACAAATTCCCGTGCGTTTTCTCGAGCTATCAATGAAACAGAAGAATATGTTACTTGGTTTTGAGGCTAACACAGAGCAAACCAGAACTCGAAATTGGAGTATTCGCTCTGGCGTTTCAGTTTGTAATACAACTTTCCTTTAAATCCAAAATCATGGTGCATTATTGTCTAGCTGCAGTACAAATAAAACCATATTAGGCTGAATGGTGTTTGTACTGAATCTAGACTACAGGGCAATAGGCCTTTTCTGAGATAGCAGTTTGCATTGCATTGTGGTCTAGATTCGGTACAAACATCTTTTGTTTATGCTGCCAAATATGGCGTTGTTTGTACTGAAGCAAGACCACAATGCACCATGATTATGTATTTCAGAAAAGGTCTATGTCGGCAGGGTATACTGTCGCCTTGCATGTGTTAGTTTTGAATAGACATAACGGGAATTCGCTCTTTGAATGGATCTATAAATTGCCTGTACAACCGTTAATAAAGCCTATCAAGAGCTCGTTGCATCACATTTCTTGATTTTTTTTCTTTTTTTTCCTGAATTTCCAGGAAGGTATGCACATACTGCAAATGCCCACGTGAGAATCATGACGTTGCTAATGGAGACGACGCCAATCAACCTGGTATTAATGGTATCCAGGTGAAAATACAAGGCATCAACCTTAACGATAATAACGGTTATGGGGATGACGATGATCTCCCGCCCCCTCCCCCTCCAAGTATGACTATTTACCATGATGATGGACAGTTTGATGAATTTCCGGATGTAACGTCGATTGAGAATGACGCAGTGTCCAGTCTGCCCGGGCCTCCGGTGTTTGTCGAGACGAGATCTTCATCTAAAAAATACCTTTGGTCACCCCCGGGATTGAACTCCAGTCAGGTAAGAGAAGTCTATTACAATAGAAGCTAAAAAAACAAAAACAACAACGACAACAACAACAATAGCAACACTAACAACATCAACGGCAACAACAACAACAACAACAACAACAATAGCAACAACAACAACAACAGAAACGACAACAACAACAACAGCAACAACAACATCAACGGCAACAACAACAACAATAGCAACAACAATGACAACGACAACAACAACATCAACATCAACGGTAACAACAACAACAACAACAACAACAACAATAGCAACGGCAACAACAACAGCAATAACAATAACAGTAACGACAACAACAACAATAACAACAACAACAACAGCAACGACAACGACAACAAAAACAGCACTAACATTAACTAACAACAACAGTAACAACAGCAACAAACAACAAACAGCAACGACAATGACAACAACAACAACGCTAACAATGACAACAACAACAACAGCAACAACAACAACAATTACAAATAATAGCAAAAGCAACGGAAACAACAACAACAACAGTACCAGCAACAACAAAAAAGCTACAAAAACACGAAACAACAATACAAACATCAAAAACACAACAGCAACCACAACAAGCAAGAACAACATCAAAAGCAGCAACAGCAGTATCAAAATCAGAAGCAACAACAACAACAACGGTAACAGCAACAACAAAGACGTAGTTACAATCTTGATTATTTCCATTGAACCTGTTTTTTACTTTCGTATCTCTATAGATCGACGCATATTTCAGGGAAATTCCACAAGAAAAGGTCCCWATTCCTGGTAGTCCTGGAATGAAATATTACGACGACCAACTGACCTATCAGAACCCTCCTCAAGATCGACCCCAGCTTGCCAAGCTACCACCAGAACACAGGGAACCCATAGCACAATTCTGGAAGAACGAAGAACGAAAGAGAGGAACTGGCGTCGTTAAAGTCCCATTTGGTAGCAAGCAGGTAAGTTGATGTAACTGTTTTCTGGCTGATACTATGTGAACATTCGCTAGCAGCGACAGTACTCAGTGTCAGCTGTTTCTCTTCGTGAATCACTCGACCAATAAGAAATTTACCTGCCGACATTTTGAATTTCGAATCGAGAACAAGCTCTAACAGACTCCGTGCCCAGGGGTATTTTTTCTGAGATCGAGGAACGAACGACAGAATATTACCCCTGGGTTCCCGAGGATGCCGGGTGGTTTGAATTGGGTGGAAACGTTTATATCAATGCGATACTCGATAGTGATAAATAGTCATTAATATTAATAAATAATCATTAATATTGATGGTACTTTTAATTA